AGGGCCCGAGCACCGACGTAGTCGGAGCGGAGGACCTATTGTTATTCTAATGTTTTTTCTTGTTATTATTCTACAAGTTTCATCGCAAAAAGGAGGTGCTTGGGATACTGGAAAACTCCTGAAAGTCGGCCATTTTGAATTTTATGACGTTTTTTGACAATTTCAAGGCGTCGTACTTTAACAAACTCCTCCCAGAGATTTGATCCGATTGACTTCAGATTCGGTCTGTATGCTCTTGAGTCCTTGGCAGTGAAAAGTTACTCAAAGATCAAAAAGTTATCGAACTATGTATCCGTGGCGCGGCATAAAAAAAAAAACACCATTCGCCGCGAAACAGGAAGTTGTTGTAACTCGGCTGTACATTGTCTAATCTGCTCCAAATCTCTCATATGGCATAACATCCTGACCCAGAACACATCTATAAGACAATTTAGAATCATAGTAATAGCGCCACCTAGTAGCAACTGGAAGTTGTAAGTTTAGTACTTTGACATCCTGCTCCTCACAGATTAATGAGATCCCTCTCAAATGTTGTCAGAAAAGCCTTAAGACCTTGAAAATCCTTCATTGTGAAAATTGTAAGAAGTTGTTCAAGGGCGGCTCGGCAAATTTCGGGCGGCTCGGCAAATTTCGATCCTTCACCATGAATAAATAAACTGATGTAACTCAACTCCACATCACCAGATCTTTACCGGATTTCACATGTTTGATTAGACTCCAGTCCTGAAGACATCTGCAGGCCAATTTTGAATCATACTCATAGCGGCACCTACTGGTAACAGTCAGTTAAAGTCTTTATACTTTGGCTTGTTTCTCTTAGTAGGTAAATCAGATCAACATCAAATTAGTTCCACACAAATATAAGAAGTTCATAATGCCAGTTCATGAAGCTTTTAATGTTTCGTGGAACGCCGAAATGTGAAAAAACGAAGGTAATTTTGAGAGACTAGAAATGCTCGAAACATATGCAAACTTGGCACACAGATTTCAAGCCCAAAATGTAGTTATATAATATGATTTTATTGGTTCAGAGGGACAAATCGGCTCAATAGCTCCCCCTACAATATTTCGATGAAGCAGCCCTCACAGTACGTTTCACATGGATTTACAAAATTTGGTAGGCACATGCGGACTTAAAAGAAAGTCTCTTGGGACCATGCTCTAAACCCAACCGGAAGTCAGCCATTTTGAATTTGTTATGAATTTCTTGTGTTGTTTTTGTCATTTCCAGGCGCTGCACTTTAACGACGTCCTCCTAGGGAAATAATCGAATAAACCTAGAATTTGGTCAGAACAATCTAAAGACCTTTGTGATGAAAAGTTACTCAAAGCTTGTTGTTTCGTGAAAGGCTGTCGCCGTGGCGACGCATTCTTCACCATGAAAAACTAAGGTGTTTTTGAGGGGCTGAAAATGCTCAAAACATAATCAAACTTGTCAAACACATTTAAAATCCTGAATGTTATCTGATGTGATTTTAATGCTTCAGAGTGGCAAGTCGGCTCGATAGCGCCCCCTACAATATTTCGACGATGCAGCCCTCGCAGTACGTTTCACCTAGATGTATGACATTTGGTAAGCAGGTGTATCACATGTAGACTTAAAAAAAAGTCTTAGGGGTCTAAGCTCTAAACTCAACCGGAAGTCAGCCATTTTGAATTTTGTATGAATTTCTCATGTTTTTTTTTGCAATTTCCAGGTGCTCTACTCAAACTTCTCCTAGGGAATTAATCCTATCAATTTAGAATTTGGTCAGAACAATCTAAAGACCTTAGTGATTAAAAGTTACTAAAAGCTTGAGGTTTCATCGAACGACATGACGTGGTGTGGCGACCATTTTACATGGTTCACCATCATCCATCAAGCTGTTGTAACTCGACTATACTTTTTCAAAACTGTTCCAAACTTGACATGGTTGATGACTGTCATGGCTTTAGAACTTCTGTCTGCCAATATCAGCTCATAGCGCCACCAACTAGCAACCATGACAGTAAGCAGGATTCTATAATTACAGGCGTCCGAACACTGAACTTATTAAAGATTCGTGGGCACAACACCAGAAAATAAGACTTTTCTGATCTAAATGTGTGCAAAGTGAGATGTTTCGAGAATGTTGTGCCATTTCTCCTTGACTGTTCCCGCTTTGAGTCGCCCAGCAATGATTGACAGAGCTACTTTAATTACTATTACTATCACTACTACTATTATTATTACTAGTATTACTATTATTATTAGTCCTCGTATTTACAATATATCTGTTTCACTGTTGGTCTGGTATCAGTTATAAAGTTAAAAGGTCAGAAACATTATGTAGGACGAGTTTACCTGGACAGGTGTGTGCGTCGCACACGGGTGTGCGCGTCGTACAGGTGTGTCTAGGAGTTTACATGGACAGGTGTAGGAGGCGTTTACCTGGCGGTGGAGACTTTGGGCACTCGGTCGAGGCTGGCAGTGATGGTGGTGAGCTTTAAGGCAGACGTTGGGGGGGCGGAGGGTCGAGCAGTGTGGAGGGGGGCTCTCACCTGGTTCCTCTGGTTAGGAAGAGACTGAGTGGAAGAGGAGAGAGACCCCCGAGCTGAAAGCCCCAACCTGCTGACAGACGAGGAGGACGAGTACGGAGGCCTGGAGGGACCTGAGGAGGAGTTTACATTAATGATATGATATATAAATTAATATCATCTTATACATTTAAAATAGATACTTCTTTTACAAAATGTCCACTTCATCTCTTATGGACCTCTTTCATTCAATACATCGCTACCTTTTGTCCTCAATGATACTAACTCATATAAATAAAGTTCTCATGAGCATCGGTTCACCCAGCGAGACTCAGACAGGTGAGGTGGCTCACCTGAAGAATGAAGGACTCCGTTGATGCTAGACTTGTAGGGTTTGTTCTCACTGTTGTGACCACGAGGAACAAGAAGAGGAGGAAGAGTAGCGCTGATCACAGCTGAGGCTGCAAACTGAGCGCTGGCCGAGTCCACAGTCTTTGAACGGGACTCACTGGACCTGGTGGACTAGAGAAAGACCAGGACCGGGTGTTACTCAGAGAACCAGACCACCAAATATACAGTATATTACCTGTGTTCAACACAGTGATGTGTGTCTCTATAAAGCAGTATTGTTATATATTAATATATATGTTACCTGTGTTCAACACAGTGATGTGTGTCTATATAAAGCAGTATTGTTATATATTAATATATGTTACCCGTGCTCCACACAGTGATGTGTGTCTATATAAAGCATTGTTGTTCTGTAATTGCAGCTGTTCCAGCTGTTGTTTCTGCATCTGGATCAGCTGCTGCTGATGACTGTGGTACTGCTCCTCTGTGATGCCCCCTGCTGGTACACAGAGAGAAGACATATATATGCATATACATAACTAACTGGCACATGTAGCAGCTGGTCCACATGGGGAGCAGAGCTGAACCATGATGTGACAAAATAAAAAGTCAAATAGTTCATCTAAACTGGAGACTTGGAGATGACTTGACGGTTCAAACTGTTGTTGTTCAGTCAAAGTCTGCTGTCCTCTCAGCTGCAGGATCTGCTGCTGACAGAGATGAAACTAATGATCAGAAGCTCACCTGAGTTATTGCCAGGTAAATGACAACAGGCGACTCTGTGGTCCTCCATAGAAGACTCTGTGGTCCTTCTGCCGCCCTCCCTCTGGCCCTGAACCGGTCTGGGTCTGAAGCAGAACCTCCTCAGGGTCTGGATGTTGCTCAGGACTTCAGTCAGACAGGGGCCAGTGGTTCCTGAGGTCAGGGGGGGTTTCTGCTCCAGTGTTACAGGGTCATTACTGGTCCTGGTCCTGCAGACTTGATGTGTTGAAGAGTCCAGCTGCTTCAGTATTGGATCCAGACCTGAGGAGGCTCGGTCCAGGATGATCCTGATCAGAGAGAGAGATGGAGAAAAGTCTTCAGCTTTACTGATGAAGACTGTGATGAGAGTGAGGGGTCAGTAGATGGGAGCTACCTGCCCCCCCCGTCCTATCCTGCGGCGGCTCAGTCCAGTCCAATGAGGAGG